TAAGATAGTAATTTAATACGCTGTGTGGACAATTAACATATTGTTAAATTTGTTATTTTATTTTAACTATGTTAACTTAAATTAGTGCTAATTAGAATATTTCAAAACTATAACTGTTTACTTACCGAATAATAGATGGCAGCACATAACTTATGTAAAGTAATTAATTCGCGTTTTACCGAGTCATGCGGATAAAAGTGTATGCATGTGATAGCTTATGCCTATGTATAGGTATAGAAATATAACGCAAATAATGTTAGTAAATTAAGTAATAATATATTGATAGTTTATGCCTATGTATAGGTATAGAAATATAACGCAAATAATGTTAGTAAATTAAGTAATAATATATTTATAAATAAAAGTTGTAAATACAATTTTAAATTAAAGCCAACGTTCGAGCGATGACAAACAAGTATGACGCATAGTTGTTTGTCACCGCCTACAAAAGCCCCTGCGCCGACCAATCTCGATTCATTCTCGGTTGAGACGTCGGGCGGTGCGGAGCTCTCTCTCTGGCTTGATACTGTGTATAAGTGTGAACATTGTGAATTAAAAGATAAGTATAATTTTTACGTTATTAAATAAATATTATTATGTATGTAAAATGTTTCTATTTGCCATTCATCATAAATAAATGAATATACAATGATTATTACATAATGGTATTATTATTACTCAATAGATAGATGTTCCTGATGAAGTAACTGTTTTGGACTATATATATAAAAACTATATATATATCTATACAAATATATAGTATAGAATTGATAAATTGCTGATTTATAGGTTGTTGTCAGTTTAGGTTGCTATTATCAGAAGTGGGATTCGATAATCCATGCTTGTTAACTGATATTTTCCTTTTAAAGTTTCCAGATGGATTTACCTAAGAGTTTCTGAAGGCCATCAAAGACGCAGTTTCCGGTTCCCGCCACAACGACAGCGAGGTCGCTCTGCCAGTATTTGATCCAGCTAAAAGTGACCTTGGTGCTGAATCATGGTGCAACAATATTGAAACCCTCATCCAAAGAGTTTGGATGGAGTAACGCCGCAACAGTCGCCAAAGCTGGTAAGGCCCGTAAGGGATCCGCCTTATTGTGGTTTGAAACATGGGACCCGGCTGAGGGTCGTTCGTGGGACAATTTACGTTTAGAGCTGGTAACTTTATTCCCTGAGAAAAAGNAGATGTACCACGAACACAGAAACAACAAAAGGAAACAAAACAAATAAAAACTTCCAGAAAGAGCACTTAGTCGGCAGATGTACCACGAACACAGGCCGCGCGAACAATGGCCGGGCTAACAAAAGCCGGGCGAACAAAGACCGGGCGATCGAGTGGACGATGAGCACGTCCGCACGTGACGGGTGCCTCTATCGGAATGACAATATAAACTGTCACGCGCTTTGAACGCTCGTCTGCACAACACACGAGTCAACTTGAAGTAGCACTTTTACTGTGGTCATTACACAACTTGGCGCATCAACGGTTACGTCACTAGTGTGAAAAATAACATTTTGCTTTGTGACTGTACCGGTATGCTTTTTTTAGTGTCACGCTTACTTTCAGCATTTTTTAGGCTACAGGGTTATTGTGCTTAGATGACGCGTTGTTTTTTTTATCGGATAATCTGATTTATAATGACATTATTAACGTTTTATGAACGTGAATATAAAAAAGTAAATTAGACTATAACTTTGTTTGTTCAACTTATTAAATATTTGTAAATATCAGATGATGCCTTGCTTTAACTTGCTCTTAGCTATGAACGTAGAATGTTTTAGAGGAAGAGATAGACATAAGAAAAAATGCATGGATTGCGTGAAAGACGATATGTGTAAGAGGGGAGTGAGCAAAGAAATGGTATTGATAGAGTATGGAAGGAGAAAACCCCAGGTGGCTGGGACAAGGGCAGGTGAATGATGATGATAATCAGATGATACCTTGCATATTTATAGCATCAATCAATTTGATAAAGGTCTATGGATATACGTCAGAGAGGGTCAGCACATGCCGTAAGCCAGGCCGTAAGCTTGTCTAAGTTATCTGCACTTTTGCTTTCTGTGTGGGTGATGATATTTTGTTTTAGCATAAATAAAGACTTAACTCAAGTCACTAAATAACGAAATCATTAAAAAAATCGGTTATCTGTAAAGTCGTTTTACTGATTACTGACGATAGTTGAACGTGGCAACGTCATAAGAAAATACTGATGGAATGGTTTCATTTTTCAATTATCGTAATTATCGTTGCTATAAACAATTGACACCACATTCACTTTTCACTGAACTTCATACTTGACGAAAACATGTAAATGTATTATCGTATAGCAGCTGTCCACGCGGATGCATCGCTCACTCAAGTAGGAGAGAGACAGATGTCGAACGCTGCCGAACGCGGAGGCCGATTGTACCTCTTTGTCGCTCGTTGCGCGCTCTCGCTTGCACTTCAAGCCTTAAATAGAACGCCTCAGAGCGAGGTAACGCCGCATGTGTCATGTTTTTTCGTGCGTGCAGCCGGCTCCATCGAATTATAAGACATTGTCACGTCAATAATAAATAAAAACAATAGAATCTGGTGTGTCTGTAACTGTAAGTGTCTGTGAATGTAAGAAGTCTAGAAAAGGCTTCTCTTACTCTATTTGTTTGTTCGCGCACATCTTCGGAACTAGTGAAGACATTTTTGTGTAGTTTTCACAAGTTAATTTATACTAGAATCTATATTCAACGCCGAAGCATCGTGCTATTGAAGTTGAGTTGAAATTGGAATTTACTTATATAATGTTAAATTTTGGAAACGACATAACAAATATATTATGTTATATACTAATGTTGTGAAATGTTCGATATTAATATGTCGTATAAAAGTAGCCCCACTAAGTAGTAAGTAGTACCACTTATGTCGAAATGGGGCAATAGTTTGAACCCTGGGAAAGAATAGGCCGCTTTATACCTCTGCTGAGCACAGATCTTTCGCCCACTGAATGTAAAGTATCGTTCGCGTGGGCGGAAAGTTTTTAAATAGAGACGTACAATTCGTTTGCCTGTTCGAATTAATTTCTAGATTTTTTTGATTCTATTCTAAAATTCTTTTCCAGATTTGTAAGTACGCTTTTCAGTTAAACATTCAAGATTTTTTAGTGAAATTTTTTTTAGAAATCTGAATATTCTAACAAAGTTTTAAGTAATATTTTTTATTTGCTAATGAAATTTTTAGATTTCCGTGGCGAATTTAGTTTTGTATAATAAAGAGAACAAGTATTTGCGATATACGATTCTTGGATGAAACCTGACATTATTGAGGTTCTTGAGACACTTGAGACACAATAAACACTAAGGATCAGGTGAGCTGTAATTACTCACCACGCATTAACCGCGATGTATAAAAAGAGGTAACTCTAGAATCGCAGAGTGAATTGTGAGATCGTAAATAATGAAGAGACACAGAATGAGTATAGAAAATTTCTCCGAATGTTTATAATATATTTCATCAACCGAAAATGAAACTAGTTAGTAAAAAGAAATATTTTCAGACATTGTCTAACTTAGCTGTAGCTTGAATTTAAAAGAGCATTTACATTCTTTTTGAACGAAGTTCTTTATGGGATGAGGCGGAGGGGTACCCTAACCGGAAAAAAACGTCCGTAACGTAAGATTTTTATTATTTATGTATAGTCTTAGTTTGATGGCTATACAGTATTATTATTATTCATATAAATTTATAGCTGTTTCTTTGTACATTATTATTAAATATATTTTTATAAATCATTGTGAATAATATAAAGGTGATAGCTTTGTAAAGTAGTTTTATATTTATTTTTATCAATAAAAAAATCATAATAAAAAATGTATACCCGAATAATTATTTTCTTTATACCTCAAATAGAACTTAAAACGAATATTTTTATAGTAAAGAACTTCGTTCCTATCCGGTTTCCCACAACCCCACACATCTTTTTTAATTCTAAATTTGAAGCGATAATGTTGAACAATCCATAGCTTAAATAACTGTTACTTCATCACAATGGCAACTCTTCATCATTTAAGGCTTGTAAAAAAGAAACCTAAACGATTGGACAGTATAGAAATAACCGGATATTAATCGAGCTGTAATTAAAGAAATATTAACAATTCTATGATATCACTTTCGTTCACAAATTGAAGAAATCTAAAATTAGTCAGCAATTAAAGTTTTACATAAACACATAAAATTCTACAAAAATATCTGGCGTTTATATTTAAATACTTTCTAATTTGCGATAAGCGTTTAGCTTGCAGCACCCCTGGTATAATGGATAGGACGATCGGTGCACTTTTACCAAGCGATGTGACCACACCAGTGTTCGAATCCCGCAGGCATATACTGAGATCTTAGAACTTATATCTCAAGGTGGGTGGCGCATTTACGTTGTAGATGTCTATGGGCTCCAGTAACCACTGAGCACACCAGGTGGGCTGTGAGCTCGTCCACACAACTAAGCAATAAAAAAGGCATATACTTTTTTTTCTAACTGCATTTCTTACGCGTTGTCACTGACGACTGCAATTTGGAACGAAGGATCGGACAATAGATACTAGATACGCAAAATGTATACATTCCTTACGTTACTGGTGGTAAGTGGTATTGTGAGATGTTATACAGGCTAGTTTACCATCGTGCGGCATGTTTCTGCCATGAAGCAGTGATGCGCTCCACTTCGTAGAGTTGAGTGGAGGATAATCATTACCAGAATCAGATGAACCTTAACCTCGTCAAAGGTTATGGACATACCATCGTGTCGGCTCTTGACGTGACGACGTGACATTCTGACAAATCGATTAAGCTGCGTATTCATGTGGCCTAAAATCTAAGATAGGTAGTACGGAGAACTTTTTCAATTTTTTTATTATTTTGGAAGTCCTCGTGATAGGAGAATCTAAAATATCAGCTGTCAGTAACTTTCGTCTTATTGCTGCTTAAATTAACTCACCTTGGATGGACCTCGACTTTGAGGACCTCATCTCCAACTTTCAGGTTTTCTGGTATCCTCACGAACTTCAGGTATTCTCCCACCGGGTAGAAGTTACAACCTGCGAAAATGAAAGCATTAGTAAAAATACACTGTATCACAATTGATTCAAAATGATGTTTCTTGAAAGGATTGAATTCACAATATTAATTAAAGTAATATAGTTTTACACGTAACTCGGATAGTAGTGCAGCGAAAATCGATAACGCGTAATCGATTAGACGAATTTCTCTGTCATAATCGATACCAGTTATAATGCGGTGTATATTATTACGTGTGCGAAACGCGTTTCTTTGAAGTTACTTAGTATCCTGATATGATAGCATTATCCAACACCGTATACACATTGTTTTGTATTAGCTGATGCTGGTAGATGATCGTGGGTTTTGAATGAAGGTTTTGCCTTGATTTAAACGATGTCAACACTAATGCAGTGCCTTTTTGGAGTCCAGTAGACATCATAACGTGAACGCTGCCATTATTTTGACACTAGAAGTGAATGTAACGATTCTTCTACCATTTAATCCGGAACACATGACTGCTACACGTTTCACATAGGCTAGACAGTGATATGTGCACAAATAACATAAAAATCATTAGTCATAAAAATAAGCAACATCAATAACTAAAAGAAAATGTGATATTGTGAAGTTTTGAAAAATATAATTTTTGTGGAATTTGCCATACATTCACATTTTTTATTTCTTGATCTAAATTATTTAAAAGATTACGTTTACGTGTAGGATCACGAATGCGACCACAATGCTCCCAGCTCCAATTAGATTACTCAGACTAAGATTTCAAAATACTAATAGGTATAAATAAGCAGAACTCTGTTTAATACAAATCACATTATTATGTTGTAAAGATGAATATTACACAGATTTCCAATTTTTTTAGATTCAACACAATTAGGTAAACAGTTAAAAATTTATGATAATTAAATTAATTTAAAAATGAATTTAAACTGATGGTTTCCTATTTATGTAGATAATTAGGACTTTTTTATTGCGTTGGAACTACCTTGATTTTTTTTAAATGTTATCACATTGATGGGTTGACGCAATGGTATTTCCTTTCAAACAGGACAGCATAATTGCGTCATGGTAAATATAGGCCGGATGATGGTACGCCTCTTTGGGCTCGCGATACGCGACTAATACATAATAAGCCTCCATTTAGTATAATTTATGAAGAATAACGTGATTCTAATGCCATCGAAGACACATCAACAATGTTCCCATGGATGTCCCACGCGATGGCGTGCCGAGAAAAGTACCGTAGCTATAATATGATAAATGTAGCGGTCCGTAATTATAATTCTAATCGTTTTACCGCAAACTGTCAGAGGAATTATAGCTTTAGAAATAATACTAACACAGCGTAGTACGGCAATGTAGTAGGAGAATATAAGAGAATTTTTACTGGTGGTAAGACCACTTGTGAGTCCGCGCGGGTAGGTACCATCGCCCTGCCTATTTCTGCCGTGAAGCAGTAATGCGTTTCGGTCTGATGGGTAGGGCAGCCGTTGTAGCTATACTGAGACCTTAGAACTTATGTCTCAAGGTGGGTGGCGCATTTACGTTGTAGATGTATATGGGCTCCAATAACCACTTAACACCAGGTGGGATGTGAGTTCGTCCATCCATCTAAGCAAAAAAAGCTTGAATGCCGCTACCTGCCTATTTATTGACCTATTTGAGATCTATAGATAATATAATAAAATAGATGAATATAATTATTGTATAGTAAAGATGCATTTTTTTCCGGCTTATATTTTAACACACGATGCTGTTCCTCCATTGCGGAAGTCAATTAATTGTCTATCATTAATTAAGTATTTAATTCATTAGAAAAATGGTACCTTCCTGCGGAATTTGAACACAGCTCGATACTAATACACCGGGCGTGTATACTTCAGACTATGACGATTTAAAACTTACATTACTTGATATTCTAATTTTATTCGCCGTAGAGAATTAATAAGCTTTCTAAAACATACAGAATTCATTTATTTGTCTTTTCACTGTATTTGGTGTTATTCAGATAATATTAAAAATAAAATCTCATAAAATTTAACTACACATAAAGGTAAAATATAAATACTTATTTACCTAAATACGCATAGGTTAAGAGCTAATCGTGCTATCTGCAACGCTATCTCGATTATTGTTTATAGTTTCAATGTTCAGCAATCGAGTTTGAAAATCAGAAAATTGCTCATATATTTTTATAACTAGATGTCAGATTTCTGGCGTGGGAAATAATCTCGGGAGTTCCGTGTGGTGTCGCTATTGTTTACAAGTGAAGTGTTTGATGGGTGGGCTGTGAGTGATCTAGCGAGATTATCATGGATTAAATCGTACGTTAGCCTGAGAAAAAAGGCGGAGGTTAGTGGTTTAAAACCATAAGTGCATATTTATGCTTAGCTTGAAATATTTGAATATATTTTTTTAAACTTTAAGTACACCGCCGTCAATATTTTTTTGTCAGTTGTCATTGTTCATCTGATGTTAGTTTAGATGGAATTGTTGAGTGAAATGAAACGTACAATGTAATAGATGAGACAAAAATGTTATGAAAAAATATATATATATATATCTCTCTCTTTCTCTTAAAATATGTAATGGCGGAATATAACGTGTAATGTGTGTGTCTCTAAAATAAAACTCGTTAATAATATTGCGTATTGCCTTTAATTAAAATGTCCTTCAGGAATCGCTTTGAGCGATACGATGCCCCATTGTTTTCTGTAGAGTGCTCTTCATTTTTCCTGCTCTTTTGATGTGCAGTAACGTTTAATCAATCAATTAATCAATGGAATCACGGATTCAATGGAAAGCCCATTTATGTTGAGGTACCATAAATATCATAATATGCCCGTTAGTAAATGAATTGCGTCTACTGTAAGACATTTATTTCAACATACAACGTAGGAGCGACCTGCAACCAAGGCTATGCTTTAAATTATTTAATGCTTCATATGAAAGAATGACTGATTACATATGTATATCAAATTTGTACCGAAGTTATCGTAGCATAGATAAGATTCAATGATATAGACAATACAAATTCCCACCTCGTTACTTAACACAAAAGCTCTGTCGTTCCTATCAGAGAACAATAGGTAAATCTATATGTAATACAAATATGAGGCGTTTCTCAATTATAAATATATATTTTGTGGCTATTTATGATGTGGATGACTACTATGTCTCATGAAGCAGACAATTTGAAAAGTAAAAGAAGGACGCAAACATCTTTTTGATAAAAAAAATCCTCCAATTCGCTCTGACACTTTGCAATACCGTTTAAGCATATCCACAGAGCTTCTGTATTCCACAGAGCTATTTGCACTTGGTTCTCTCACCTTCTCTATATCTTCGTCTAGAACTTGACTGCTTACAGTTTCAAGGCCGCTGTGAAGCCTAAGCCTAAAGGAGTCCTAATCACAATACCTTGACCATTATGTGGACGCAAAACGTACTCTTAGCTACACAGCTGTCTACATGCTGGCTCTCTCGTACGAGTCTCTCCGTTGGAAAACATTTTGTGTCTGGTTACGTGGCATTTACCTTAACATGTCTTCATTTCGGAAAGTGATTGATTCTTATCCCAGGTTTCACCTTACGTAAAGATTATTTGGTTTAAAAGATTAAGTTTTCAAAATACAACATACACATAGTACTTAAGGGTAAGCAGCGGCTTGGCTCTGCCCCTGGCATTGCTAACGTCCCTAACCACTCACCATCAGGTGGGCCGTATGCTCATCTACCTACTAAGGCAATAATAAAAAATAACAAAATGTGTGCAATTCACAGGTGGTAGAAGTGAAACCTTCCAAAATTAAAATACAATTATCCTAAACGTCTTAAGCATATGTAAAATTTTGTCATTAGTAAATAATTGTAAGGTAGCGCCCTCTGTGAATTGATATTTTAATTTCACGTATAATCCTAAATTAAAATTCACTACAAGAGCTTTCATACACGTTAGTATTAAAAAATCTCACAGATGGCGCTGTATTAAATAGTATGTATATTTCTGTCTCATTCTTTGCTGGCTTCATCCTACACATTTTTGTATTTTTGTCTCTTACCTGTCGTTTTTTCCGTTGCATCCGGTTTGAAATCACAACGATTCTAAAGAAGTTTTCACTTCAAAAACATGGCTAATGACAGTTAAAGAATAAAGGTGCCGCGTATTTAATATTGACCGTCTCTTGGTCTACACTGATTGCGGTACTAAGTTATTCCAAGTCTTGAAGTTTATAACAGGCCTGGACACGGTTCGCTAACGGTGCTCCAACTTTCTTGTTTATGGTCAAAGTTTTCTATAACGCATAATAGTTAATAATATAAAAGTGCATAGAAAGTCTCCAAGTTATTGCTTATTTTGTACGTCAAACATATGCAAGCATATAAGGTCGGTCGGAGAGTCGATACGTCGGAAAAAAATATAGATGTTTTTATATCTTTTTTTCAACAATAGTTAACTCTTGAGCGGAAGACCTCACTCTTGTCACAGTGACAGAGACATTAACACCGACCATTTCCAATCGATCACCCGGACATCTCTTCAGCCCACGAACCCAAAATCTATCTGATGTTGAACGTTGTGAATGCATAGCATAAGTCGTGAAAGGCTAATAATTTATTCATAAACAAATTACGATTTTAATTTGATGAAAGTGAAGACAGAAAGTTCTTATTCCAGTTGAATAATTCCATTACGCGATGAGTGGACGGCTGGAGAGCCGGTATCTTGATTACGGAAGCACAAGAAACACACGTTAGTAGATTTTCTCCTGTGTTATGGTCTACAGCAAATAAATATAAGGTACAAGAGCATCGTATACCTTTAACAAAGACAGAAGTAGACTCCGTTGGCAACCGTTCTCCTGATCTGTCACAAACCTCTGGTCCAATTCGAAGGGCTATGACGTTATAACCTCATGTGTTATGAGCAACAGTGATTCCTTAACATCGAGTGAGATATAAGTGAATTTGTGTCTAAGTAAATTCATATCTGAGCAGTTAACAACCGTAAAAATATTTTTAC